GGCCGCGGGAATGTGCTCCAGGTCAGTAATGTGCATGAAGGGCCGGTGGAAGTAGTGGAGCTGCAGGATGCAGGCCAGGAGGAAGAAGCCCGGGATGAGGGTGCTGGAGAAGAGCTCAGAGACGCTGAACTGCTCCAGGCCCAGGTCGCCCAGCCTGGACAGGAACAGGCAGGTTAGCGCAGGACCATCCTGTCCCTCTGTGCCAGACCAGCCCGCAGGCATCCTTGGCAGAGCCCAGCGCTGGTGCTTCTGGTTTCAACTCCAGCACCCTGCACCTCAGTTTCCCCATGTGCAATGGGCAGAGGCCAAGCACCACCATCTCTTGGCCACGTCTCATTGCCCACTAGCCTGCCACGGGGACAGCGGTGGAGGGGACACCAGGCCGGGGTCACTCACTGCTCGTTGGTGAGACCCGTCAGGTTCCTCCAGTACATGGGGAAGTCCTCGAACTGGAAGGTGTACACAGCGATGAGCACCAGCATGGTGTACGCGACCACCAGCCACCAGAAGCCCTTCAGCACCTTGCGCCACAGGCTGTAGTACACCTGTAGGGACAGGACCATGAACGTCCCCTTATGGTGGGCACTGCGCCCGTGCCTCGGGGACAGGACGGCATCGTGTGGGGTCCCGGGCACCCAGCTAGGTCCGGCCCTACCTGGAAGAGGGTGAGGCAGAGCAGGAAGAGGAACATGTAGACGATCTTGTAGACAACGAGGCGTCCGGCAAAGCTCACCACGATGAACATGCCGGCGCACACGCAGATCCAGTACTTGGCATAGAAATCCTGCACCAGGGCCCCCAGCGCCTTCAGCACGTCCTGCTGCCGGCTGGACTCTGCAAGGAACGGAGCTGCTCGGCGCCGGGCACGGGGCACAGCTCTGCCCGGACACCTGGGTCCCCCGGGAACGCGCTGGCTGCAGCTCTGCACACTCACAGTGCTCAAATCCCGCTCCTGCCTGGCACAGAGGGCACCGGGAAAACCCCCAGCGCAGGCACCTGGCTGGCAGTGCCCCCTCAATACCGTCACCCCAGCCCGGCAAGGAAAGACGGCATGGGGTGCCCGGGGCTGGGGCTCCCCTCCAGCCCAACCCCAGCATCGTGCAGGGACCCCAGCGCCCTCACCCGTGTCCGAGACTGTCACCTCCAGGAGCGGTGTGGCAGGGCACTTCCTCTTCAGGAGCTTCTCCTTGACGAACTGCCGCACCAGGAGCCAGAAGGTGAGGGTGAGCAGGAGCTGCGGGGAGAGGCGGGGAGGCCGG